ACTCCCAGCAGGATCGTAAAAACCAGCAACCTCAAACCAAGTCCGATCTCGCCATCATTCCCAGGGTCGAAAGGGAGGAGGGGGTGGAAACGCTCGTCTCGTAAAAAAGGGCGGGTAAGTTAGTTCCCCCCTCTAGCACTGCAGAGATCCGGTCTGGGTGATCGACGTGGCACTGCCAGTCTAGTAATCCACCAATGAACAGGTGCAAGAGCAGGTAAGGCACAGGAGCACGGGCGAACGCACAGGTAAAGGTACCACGCCTCCCCGACCAGCAGGCCCATTCATCATTGCACCACCACCATCTTTCCTCCATCATTTGCACTGGTTGTTTGCCCCTCATTTCCAAAACCTGATAAGCCCACCGGCACACGCGCGCGCCACTGAGGGGCAAAAAAGAGAGTCAATCAGGTTTAGTTTCCCCCTTTTGTGCCAAGATCATCTTTAGTGGCTACAGTGTCCATCAAGGGGGAGCGGGAGGGAGACAAGAGGAGAAGATGGTTGTAGTAAATGCTGAAGAGGGATAAAAGCGGGTGTGAGGGGATCCCGTAAGACAGGTTCAATCAATGATGATGATTGATGACAGGTGACACGGGTCTGTCCCATCCCTGTTGTATCTGAAACATCGATATCGGTGATGACGGGAACTGCCAGTGCATCCCTCGCCTCTAATCTATCTATTATTATTTCCTTTCCCTTTTTTGCCCTTCCCCTCCTTGCCGTCGGGTTCTTATCAATGGGAAAGCGGGGTTATGATAAGTACAGTAACTGAGTAGTCTAAGTGGGATGTCCCCGGAGCTAATGAGAAGAGGGGAGAATAGAGAAAGGGAAGAAGAAGGGCGCGTGCACGGATGTATGTGGTGTGTGTGCTATCTGGCCTAGCTGACTGGCTGACAGGACTAAACTAGTAGTGGTTTCGTTTTTTCCTTAGTCTGCTTGTACTACCCGCTGAGAGATGGAGTACAAAGCAGGTACCTGCGTTGCAAGAGAGGGGTGTACCTGGTAAGGTATTGTTGGGGTATCTACTACTACTACCTAGTACTTTAATGTAGTTCATTGAACATATACCATCTTCTCCGTATAAATAGTAGTAGGTAAACAACACCCTAACCACTTGATAAATATATACAATAAAACAAGTAAGAATAAAAGACAATAGAGAAAATTAGGAATCCCATCAGCAACAACTCATCCACCTAAACGCTTACGTATAAGACCATCAGATCACAGCGGGTCCTGGATCCAGAATGCTGACGTCTTACATTATGTGATTGTCTCTCTCTCTCTCTCTTTCTCCGGCGGCAAAACACTTCCTCTCTACACACACTGCAGCACACTAATGGAACAACATTTATCATAGCGCGAGTAAGTATCTACTAAACAGTACTTTCCTTCCATCCGTCCTTAATCAATCCCTTTCCGCCGAAGAATATATATCTTCAGCCATAGATATCGTCTATATTATTAGGTATACACACTACTCTGTAGTAACTAACTGACAGATTAAGAAACTAAATCGAAACCCAAACCCAAACCTAACCTAATACTTTACCTAGTTACCTGTAGACTACCAAGTAAGTTGCTAAGTAACATGTATGACTCACATCATCATACATCAACCCAGCCAACCAACAATCCTACTGTACCACCCACTACGCATTACTCTTTCGGTAACCCACAAGCCAGTGCGTATCGTATCTAGGCACAGACACAACATACATTACACACTTACGTAGTGTCAAAAAAACAAAAAGCAAATCCATTCTAAAACTATTATAGTAGTAAAAGTATCAAGAAGAAACCCTAAACATGAACAAGATAACCTCCGATAACTTACGTAGCCTATCAATAATACTAATATTTGAAACAATCGAAGCATACGTATGCTTGCTTAGTAGTAGTAAGAAAAGAAAAACAAAACAAGAGGGAAAGAAAAGTAAAATGTGAGGCGAAGTCAAACCCCCATGATTGGTTCAGAGATGTTATGGTTGCACAGTTGAGTAATACTACTTACTAGTACCTACCACTTTCATGCTTACTATTTTATTTTTGTTTGGAGATGTGGAAGGATAAGGCAAGCCAGGGGAGGAGGGGATGGGGAGATGGGGCGCAGGTGGATTGGTGTCAGCTGATGATCATGATGATGATGCATGTATGTAAGTATGCATGTATGTATGTATGTGTATGTGGTCGGTGTGTACCTGATAGACATGTACTGTGTCTATTACATATTTCACATGGGAAATGGGTCTGTTGTACTACTTACTCTTTCTTGCTTGCTTGCTTGCTTTGACTGTGTGCCTGAAATAACTAACTTACTCACTGCGCATGCATGTGTTTGATGGTTTGTGGTAGGATATATTATGGCGTTATTGTATTTAGTTGGTAGCTATTTATCATTATAATACATACTGCACATCCTCATACTCTCCCCCATCATGCCTGTCTATCTAGTACACTGGCAATAGAACTGACCATAACAGCTGCTTCCCGTTCCCAGCTCCTCTCCAATCCCGAGTCAACCCCAAGTCGCTTCTCAGTCCCCAGGATTGACGTGGGAAGCTGCGAGCCCCGCAGAACGCAGTCCTTGACTTCCTTCTTGATACGGTCCCGATTGGAGCGCAATGTCCGGGCGGACACGCCGCCGCGGTTGACGATTTCCTGCACACGAGCCGCGAGGTACGATGCGAGTGATCGCCAGAAGTAGGATGGGAGGGAAGACGTGTCAAGAGCATTCAGCAATGGTTGCAGCAAATTATTCTTGCCACTGGCTTGGACCTGTGGTTCCGGCTGTTCCCCGTTGCGGGTGCCAGCAGCTGCAGCTGCAGCAGGTGCTGCTGGGGGGAAGAGTGGATGCGAGGGTGGACGCAGGTTGCTGAGAATAGCTTCCAGGGCAAAGACATCCTGGCAGCGTGCAGACAGGTCGGAGAGTGTGCGCTCGAGAGTGGGCAACATGGTGAGCGCCCGAGTGAGGTTACTCAGGGACGAGGAAATGGCCGTTTGCATGTATCCTTGCAGGGTTGAGAGGAGCAAGTCTGGTTGGAAGCTTGCTGCGGAGGTGATATTTTTGGGGACCGGCGATAAGAGATACAAGATGTTGACGGCAGAAACGAGGCGTGCTCTGGCATCGCGCGCCTGTTTGTAGCTCATTTGTGACTGGGAGCCAGAGCCTGCACTTGCAATGGTCGACATGGTGAATCGACCGATGGCTTGCTGTGCTCTCGTCTTGACCATGTTCTCGGCGGGAATGACAAGCTCACTGCGCAGCGTTCGGATGACTTTGACACGGTCTAGTCCATGGCCCTCCTCGCCTACTGCCGTCTCAGAGAACATTCGACGTAGACTCACAATCGTGGAGGCGGCCCGTTCCAGCGTCCGGTAGTCATCCTTTGCAGGGGCTGTGGCATCAAGACCCCCGATCTCTGCAAGCTGGCTCTCCAGCTGTCGGCCTAGCGAAAGGCAGCGTGCAACCGCTCGTGCGAGTCGTACAGTAGCCAACGACTTCTCTGCAGCCACCCTGGCCTCATCGGCAGCTTCCCATTTGCGGAGAACTTCCCTTTCCAGCCGCTCATATCCCTGCGTTACCGAAGCGATCTGCTCTTCGGCTTCTTTGAGGATACGGCCCGCTGCGGCGGTCTGGTCGCGCGTGTGCGTCAGTAGGGGGAGGGCAGACTTAGTGGTCAGCGCATGGATGTGGGTGTCGATCTCCTGAAGATCGAATAACACCCGTGAAAGCGGGGTTGAAAGGTCCAGCGGTGTGTCTGTTGCATTGTTGGTGGCTACAACCAAGGAATTGGCAAACGAGGCGGGTGAGAATTCCGGGTCTAGGAAGGCCTCGTAGTCTATGTATGAGGGTTCACCGTCCGCCATGGCTTGTGGCGTTTGATTGGAAGACAATCAGGGAAGTAAACAGGTAAGAAAAGATTGGGAGGAAAGAAAGAAGCAGCGAAATTGGAGAATATGGAACTGAAACTCAAAATAAGAGAGGCTTGGGTATCACCGTATCGAACAAAGCAGATGGATTACAGGCCAGCCGTGTTGTTTACCCCAGGTGGCCGCTTGACCGCAGGACAATCAAAGCTTAATGTGGCAGAGACTCCCATGTGATATAGAGGATAGAATGGGGGATGCTGATCCAGCTAGCCATCGTTCAGCTCAAATGCTCGTGAAGACAAGCAGCAGCAGTTGTTGTTCGGGATGCCATGTGTCGCCTAGTGCATTAGTCAGCTAGCATAAGACGGTGTATATTTCCCAAGCACATCCTGCCAGGTCAGTCTATATCTGACATGGTTTACAACACACTGCATTCACATTGGTTGATTATATATCCGATAATGGCAGTATCATCGTCTCTTGAATAGTATTCTCCTACCACATTCCATATCTACATCTACTGACTCGCGTTCTGCCAACATACACTTGATAAGGTTCTGTGTCCCCAAAGTGGTCGATAAACTTTTATCAATCTTAGTTGTATTTTCTCCTTAGACCCATAGTAGACCCACCTATAACACACGAGTCAATCACTGCATGTAAGCGATATTTCAGGCACACTTATGGCCATATAACAACTTCCGTTATTGTTGTGTCGGATCTCTAGGAATATATAGCATTAAATAGCAGCCCTATTCATCAATCAAGGCAAGATGGCCGAGTTGGTCCAAGGCGTCAGGTTAAGGTCCACCTTAATACCCAGCTTCACAGCTTCCTGATCATCGTAAGATGGCGTGGGTTCGAATCCCACTCTTGTCATATCTTTTTGCTTTTTCCACACTTCTCAAGCAGTGAGGTTTGTCTTTTTTCTTTTTTCTTCCTTTTTATAATGTCCCTTGATAATCGATCACATCTATTAGATTAAAGTGGCACGAGGAAACGTGTGCTGTTGTAGGAGGCTCTATGTTAGACCTTCTGCAATAGGGTTGTTTTATCTTCAAGGCTGCAGACATTGCAATGAAAATGTAGAATGCATATTATGGACACTTTTGCTAGCAGACACCGGTTCCTTATTGCAGAACTCTTCCATTGGTCTCTTCAACAATGAGCTCGTACTCCGGCTGGAATTCAGTGTAGAAGTTGTGCTGTATATCGTCAGCCATCCATCCATCCACTACAGATTCTACAGAAGAGTAACTCACATGGTTCTGCGCAACATCAGCAGTATACTTCGCCACCTCATTCGAGATGATTCTCTTCGGAACACCGTTCGCAGCCGCTGCTTCAGCCAGCAACTGCGTGTGGCAGGCATTGTCTAAGCTAAAGTAGAGGAAAGCCGCCTCGTCGACAGTTCGGCCCACGGTGAGAAGACTGTTTTCCTTCGTGAGTACATGATGTGTCTAGTGTCATAAGATGTATCCAACTCACCCATGGTTCTGCAAAATGCAAGCAATATTATCCTTTCCTAGGGCACGGGCAATCTGCTCACCCTCCTCCTGCGCAAGGGCAATACCGCCGTGGTCTTCGTAGACACCGACCTTTCCGTAGAGGTTGCATGCATCTATAGATACCAAATCAGACAATCCCTCTCAAGCAGCTAGTGTCAAAATGAATCTACTAACCCTGGGTAAGCATCTCAATCGGCTTTCCAAACGCACTCCACGTTTTCCCATGAATCGAATGCGTATGCGCCGCAGCAATAACATCTGGCCGGGCCTTGTGAATTTCAGAGTGGATCATGAATCCGGCCTCGTTGATGGGCAGCTGAGCACCACCCTCAGTGACATAACCCTCTGCATCAACAAGGACAAGATCCGATGCTTTGATGGTGGAGAAGTGCTTGGCGAAGGGGTTCATCCAGAAGTGATCCTTGAGGATAGGGTCTGTAGCACATCCCATCAATACTTGTCGAGCCGAACTTCTGCAATTGCATTGTGATACTAGGAATGATCACTCACCTCTCATAGAAATATGACCCGACACACCCTCCCCGTATCCTTTCTTACCAAAGAACCGAAACGCAGCAGCCATATGCTCCTTCATCCACTGCCGCTTAGCCACAGGATCACTAAAGGTCGGGATACCCCGTAGCTTGAGCGTTCCCGCACGGTTTCCCCGTGCAACAGATTGGAACTCCTTGTCGTTGGCGGCATCTTCGATGTGGGCTTTGCTGGTGGAGCTGTTGTTGTCGGCCGCTACGACGACGGGGACGGGGTTAGTGGTGGTTTGGGTGATGGTAGCGGACATGGTGACTAGTAAGTAGTAGAGTACCCTCTCTCTGGTTTGTGATTTAGTTTCTGGAATAGAGTGTCCTGGGGAAGAGAGGGGGGATGAGTTGGCGGGGACAAAGTATAAATACTAAATGTATGAGGGGCACGCTAGATACTAATCTATAGCATTTATCCTTTAGGCTTATCGCAGCCCCGGAATTGCATGTCAAGTAAAATGATAGGCGCACTGCGCCGAAAGAACGGGGCTCCGATAGCTTGATAAGAGCTGTGCCCCGGGCCGGGGTCGTGCGCCTTCCGGGGACATGGTTCCATCCATGTCTTATAGTGTTTGCACTTGTCCGGATGACAGTACCCGGATGTATATTATTCTTTCCTTGAGGATGTAAAGTATAATAATCAAGTATTTCATGTTTAGTAGAGGCTGCGAAGTCTATGATGCTCAACTTGTGTGTTTTATGGGGGGTTGGATTCATTGCCTATTGCCGTTGCAAGAGAATGAGCTATTCAACCACTGCACTGTATGTTGCTAGAATCAGTGGAGGTCATTATGGTTTAACAAAATACCAATTGTGATGATGCAGCCAATGCATGAATAGACCAGCAACATTATGATGGAAGTGGCACAGTCTGCTGACACTTCAACGAACTGGATACTATCTCCGGTTAGAGGTGTCAACAGCAAGATCTGCTACTGGCTTACTTTCACGATTGGCAATTTATACTTTCCACTTCTTTGAGGGATCTATATCTTTCAGTTATATGCAGATATATTTCTTGTAGTCCTGTAATACGTTACCTGCAATCAACCTTGTTGTAAAATGGTCTGCCATTTATATTGATAGCCGTTAGTATCTGTTAGGGACTGTAGGCAATTAAGTTCTGTAGAACCTTTTTGTTTTGACCGTCTTTATACTATTGTCCTTGCTAAAATGTCATGGGCCGATTAGGTGCTAAAGTAATACGTTCCCGGATATATATCCGAGATCGTAGGGAGTGCAAAACCAATGTCTTTCAAATCTATGCGGACTCCTTCCCGCAGCGAGTTTAATATATATTTCACACAGTAGAAGTTAGAACAACACGTCGAAGAAATCGAGAAATGAAGTAATTGGCATCGATCCAACAACGCCACCAATGCAGGTACCAGCCAGCTAGGGTATACATGAGAAAAGAACAGGAGCAAACGTGAACATAGACCATAACCACATCCAGTGGGAGTCTCACGCACTCCAAGGTCAAAAAAAGATGATAAAAAGGGTGATAAGGTCATGACAAAGAAAAGGGAAGAAAAACCAGAGAAGACGAGAGAAATCTATACCGCCGCGTCGCCCTTCATTTCCACCATCTCGTACTCATCCCCGGCACTGCTACTATCGCGCAAGCCTCGTCCCCTTCCTCTACCCCTCGACAGTGAGAATGACTCCTCTTCGCCAGCACCACTTTGTGCCTCACCACCACCCGAGGCCCCAGCAGATGTACCGCTATTGCTACTACCTCCGCCGATACCACCAAAACTGATGGGCTGCAGTTCCCGCCAACGACAGGCCCAGATGCCCAAGAACGTCATGAACGCGGCACTCGCACCTTGCAGGCCCCACCAGAGCCAATTCGCGGGCACGGAATGCGTGTACAAGGTTGTAGCGATGAGGTGGAGGAAGTGTAGGGTAAGAGCGAAGTCAGGGATAAGCTTGGACCGAGCGACAAGGAGAAGGAGGAATATTGCCCTAGTTGTGCATTTATTAGAAAATGTGCCTTGTACTGTGGAAAGACAAGCTAGAGAACTCACCCAATCCCACTCGTCAACAACCACACCAAGCCAAGCATCCATCCAATCGTAGTATCACCGCGGAGGGCATTCCAGCTGAAGACAAGGTCGAGGGAGAAGGGAGTACCGTAGACGACCGTCGTAAAGAGGATAAGAGCCGTGGCGGTGACATAGTAGGCGACTTGAAGGAGGAGGATCTTCCGGACAATCTTCAGCGGGGGAAGGTCGGTTCGAGAGCCCGCTCGAGGGGCCCGGCGGCGCGGGGGCATGAACTGTTTATTTTATTGTGTATAGGCGATTAGATTTAGGTTGGGTGTATTGGAGGGCCCCCGAACTGCGGTGGTCGGGAGTTGTGTAGTGTATTTGACCGCAAACTTATCGAACCGAGTGGATGTCTGCGAGACGTCAAGTCTGAATAACGCGTTCCTGAATAACGCCAGGCCGGAAAGAAAATATCCCAGGGCAGAATTCCTCGGGTTGTATGACGTGGTGCTGCAGGGCTGATTGATCGATAATTATCCAGAGCGCCGTTCGGCGATGTTGGAGCCAACTTGACCGGACGGGTTAGCGCCACATGACCGGCGTCCGCGGCGGCGGAGCGGAGCAACCAATGCATCATCTCAATTATTGTCGTTGAATATCCGGACATTCTAGAAACCTCATCTACTCCTCGCACCCCCTCTACACAACCACATACGCACAATAACAATGGGCTGGCTTCCCTGGTCCTCCGAATCTACCAACACCGCCTCCGATGGTGGCCGCATAGCTCCCGATCGAACCTCCCGTCAACGATGCTACGAGGGCCGCGACATGTTCTTTTCCTGCCTCGACCGCAATGATATCTTGGATGCAATTAAGGATGACAAGGAGGCGCGCCGGAAGTGTGGAAAGGAGATTGCAGAGTTCGAGACAGCTTGTTCGAGGGCGTGGGTATGTGTTTCTTGCTTTGTTACTTGTGCTTTGGTTTTCGCTTGTTGCTGGGCTTCACTGCGGCACGAGATAAGAAGACCATGGCACTTTCGTCACTTAGTATTGAATCTGAAACTAATTGTATACGTTCCCATGGCAGGTCAAATATTTCAAGGAGAAGCGCGTGATGGAGTATAACCGGGACAAGACAATTGAGCGGATCAAGAAGGAAGATGCCGCCCAGGTTCAAGAATTAAAAGCACAAGGGTGGAACTCTCGGTAAAGAAGATGGAAAAAGAATAGTTGAGGTGATTGCTTGTGATCGGGGAAGTGGCGGCGCCCGTTGAGGGCTTTCTACCTGTACGATATTGATGTACGCTTACCAGGCTTCTAATGACTGCCGGACCGCATGCTACTAGATACTCTCCACTATAGGCTGGAACTGTAGCTTATTAGAATTACCGTGTGCTTGCATTGTGTCTGCCATGCTAGTCACTATGCCTGAGACCCCACAAGAATCCGTGGATAAAAATAGATACAATAGCTCCGCATAGAACCCCAACATCGCTGTCCGATGTCTAATTCAATACCTCAAAGCCAACAGAACCATTGCACCCCTATAACGTGTATTCGCTGATTCGATCGAGTGCGCAAGAAATCAACCCAACAACAGAACCTTCATAACCTTTACCTGCGGTAACGTTCCATATCCGAGTCTCAATCAATCAATCAATCAATCAGTCAACGCCCGACTCCTTAAATGTCGCCAACGACTGCGAAGCCAGAGAGAAAGAGGAAGAGAGGAAAGAGAAAAGACGAAAGAAAACAAGGAATGTCATCAATCATTGCTTCCATTTGCCCAGTTGGTTCATGATGTTCTGCACATGGGGACCAACGGCTGCCTGGTTTTGAGGCTGCTGGCCTCCAAGTCCCTTGGCAAGTAACGAAATCAAGTTTGGGTCGGATACCAAAGGAGCATTTGGCGCTTGCAGAGGAAAGGGCGGTGGAGCTAGTGGCTGTTGCGGGTTAACAGCAACAGGCTGGCGAGTGGCAGCGTTCAGCAGGCTAGCGAGGTCTGCTGCGCCATGCGGCGTGCTGGCACTAGGAAACGGCTGCTGCGCTGTTGGCACGGCTGGCGGCCGTTGCTGGAGCACTCCCAGCAGCGATTGTAGTGTGGGACCGTCAAGGGAGGTAATCAGATTGGCAATATTGGGCTGATTGGCGACGGTAGGCAGCGGCGCCTGAGGAGGCACTGTTGCAGCCGGAGCAGGAAGCGGGGGAACCCCAAATGCCGGGTTGGGAGGGAAAGGCGCCGGAGGAGCGCCACGCTGCATCGACTGGGCATGGAACACAATCTCGGCGGCGATACTGGGCTCGACATCGGGGTATTCTAGCAGGAACACTGTCAGCGAACCACAACTCATGCAGGCCTACTGAGGATAATGGCGACTCACCGTTGGAGCGAACATTGTCTGCCCCCCCGCTTCGGTCAAACACCTGCAGGGGAATTTTCCTGGAGAACTGACTAGGGCGCGAAAGCCTCACTACGGCAAGTACGCCCTCCTGGATCTGTCGTTGAACAGCTGCGTTCAGGGGAATTCGGGGTCCAAGGACAAGCACATCCACCCGGAGACCCCGGTTACGGAAAGAGTTCTCCACAAAGAAAATGAAGTTGCTGACCACGGCATTAGACATTGCATAGAAAATCCAACCAAAAAGAAAACAAGAACCACTCACCGATCCAATTCCTCGAGCACAAGGATTTGTACTTCCGGTACGTCTCTCGGAGCTCGCCGAGGAACGGGCAGGTCTGCATCACCCTCGTAAGACCCACGACCCCGTGGGCTTGGGGTGCGATATCTGCGATCTCTCGTGTAGGGCGACCGGGAACGCCGCCTCTCGCGTCGATCGTACCGCTCTGGAGTTCTATCCCGAGACCGGTACCCGTCCCTGGCGCGGAAAGCACGAGGAGACGGCGAGCGAGGCGGAGGGGGTGGCCGATAATCGTCACGTCTACGGTGACCGGGCTCATCCCTAAAATCGCTGAATGGCACGCGCCCCGATTCGTACGGACGGTCGTAACGATCAGCCGGGGCTCTCGCACTGCGGCTGCCAGAAGGACCACTCCGGCTGAATTCTGGAGACCTCGAGCGCCTTGGTGGAGGAGCGCGAGAAGGTTCTGCCGGGGCGGCCCCGGGCCTTGTGCTCCTCTGTGGCTTCGAGATTTCGAGATCTGGTGCAACACGGATGAGTCTCAAGCGAGGACATCCATTGTCGAGTGGGTATACTTACGGACTTTGCGTCCTCTAACAACAGCTCCTTGCTCAGCGTCGAGAGCCTGTTTACAGGCAGACGAGTCAAGGAACTGGATGAACCCGTAGGCCTGCTTGATGGATATCTGCGCCAACTTCCCGAACTTGTGGAAGATGTGGAATAAATCGCGCTTCGTCACTCTTTCAGTGGGCAGATTACCTGCGACCTCGGTCAGATCACTGTTTGGGCCTTTGTCTTCATACACAGCAAGTAGTACTAACCAACAAACAATCTAGACCCCGGCGGGAACCGGTCCCAAAGACCTTCGGTTACGTAGATCCTCTCGTCATGCAGAAACTCATCGTACTTCTTCTGCACCTCGGGGCCCCATGGCGTGTCTTCATCGGAACCCTTGTTCTGCCGGGCCACTACCCGTTCACCGCCACCCTTTCTGTTATTCACTGGTCCTGGGGAGTCCTGAGTCTCGGAGGTAGTAGTAGATGTAGACTGCTGGAAACTCGGCACGGGGGGAGGGGGCAAAGCGCTGGCACCCGAGGACGTCCCCGGTGCGCCAGCCGCAGCCAATGATGGGAGGCCCAGATTGGACTGATAATTACTCTGCTGGGCGGTGTAGGTGGAGGAGGGGGAGGGTTGTGCATTGGAAGTATTAGGGGGGAGCTGGTGATATGACCGGATGTCATCACTGGCATTGTAGTTGGGATGGATAGAGGGCTTCTCCTGGGGAGGGGGGCGAGGGGGAAGTCCCAGGGAAGATTGGAGCGCCTCGTCATCCGTTCCTGCCTGGGGAAGGGCAGAAACGTCTGTAGACAAAGGCGCTGTCTCTGAGACCGCAGGGGCAGAGGGCGCAGTGGAAGAAGGGGGCAAATTATCGAGGAGGTTCTGAAAATCGACACCATCCTCACCAGTGTTATCATCAGCTTTGCTCTGGGAGTCTAGGCGAGTTTGCGGCGCGGGCTGGGCGGTCCAGCTGGCGACTGCGTGGTCTACCTCGCTCGCACTGGGGGTGTCTTGAGCGGCATGGGAGGAAGAGGGAGGGACATCGGGGGGAGGAGGAGGAGCTAGGAGGGAGGCGGGATCTGATGGAGGCAGAGTGGTTAGAGAAGAGTCTGTTGGAGCGTCCTGGGCTGCGGAGGAGGTACCGCCGGCCATGGGAGGCGCGGGTTGGTCTGATGCAAAGGACGCCTGGGCAGTTGTAGCCGTAGCAGACAGTGCGTGGGCAATCTTGTTCATCGATCCATCCTCCACCTGCGACGAATCCGAGTGGAAGCTACCTTGAGTGTTTGGTGGTTGGCGCGGTGGTGGTTGCTCCGGCACTTGCACGGAGCCAGTAGTTCCCCTCACTTCGCCGGGCCCTGCATATTGGCCACGAAGTGAGGTGAAATCATTGGGATGCGCCTGGGAACTATTGCCAAGGAAGGCCTCGGACTTCTCATAAGTCGACGTGTCGTTAAAAACAGGGTCCATTTGATTCTGAAGCACCGGGATCCTGGCAGGTTCCGCGACGTGTAGCGGACGAGGGCTCTCGGGAGTCAGGGTCTTGCCGCGGAAGTGAAGAGCTTCATCTGGGGAGCTGGGCGTCATGTAGACCAGGGGGGAGAGGTCGATTCATCTACAAGAGCACACAAGAAGGTCCGACAAGAACCACACGGAGATGGGGTTTTTGGAAAATCGACAAAGCTAAGGTGGGGCTATCTTGCAAAATGAACCGGGCCGTTGGAGCCGGGGCGGTAAAAGGGATAGCAGCAACCCAGAGGGAAGTAGTAAAAGAGAGAGGGGTGGGCTTCTTTCTTTTTTTTCTTTCTTGTCTTCCGATGGTGTGGATGGGTGAAGAGTAAAGAGACGGATGGTGAGAGAGAAGATAAAAAGACAAGCCACACACACACAGTCTCTGACACTCACACCCCTGGATCCTGTCCGAGGATAACACAAGAGCCAGTGAGATTTTTTTTTTGTGAAGGGAGGCGGGGGAGGGAAGGAGAAAGCGCGTAAATAACAAAGCGATAAGCGCAACGGAGAAATGGATGGAGTGAACAGTATAAAAAGAAAACAACCGAAAAGGAAAAAAGAAATAATAGTACAAGGCTGGGTGAGCAAAAAGGGGAGAAAGATCAGGAACAAGCCGTTATAGAAAGCTCTAGCAAGATGGAGTCACGGAACAACAAGGAAAGGCGATGAGGAAGTGAGAGATGAGGAGGAGCGCGTATTATTTCATCAATACCCAATGACAATTGCCAGGAATTGGAACAGAACGAGGGACAAGCGATCAGCAGACGCAAGATTGCGATGGAGGAGCTAAAATGGTAAATGGAGCAGGGAAGAAACAATGCCTTATCCACCAGCTGGATGATGGATGGCTGGACTGCTTTTTCGCGCTTCACACAGATTCAATCTCTGGTGGTGGAGGGGGAGAAGAGAAAGAGGAAAGAGGAAAGGGTGGTGAGAATACTGAGAAGATTCGAGCTCCACGGCGTAACTTGAAAGTTACGGAAAGGTCAAAGTTTGCGCAAGTCAGTACCGGCGCCATGCCTGATCGGGATGCTTTAGTGCTTCAGCAGGTCCAGCCAGGCGGTGTGACTGGCTGGATCGGACACTAGCGGCGGGTCATGGCGCACCTGGATTTTTTTGTCTTTTGGAACTGGCCGTAGTTGGCATCGGTATCAATTAGTCAAGCCCGACTACTTTTGTACTAACTACGGAGTATCTAGACTAACACAGTAAACTAAAAAACGTTAAGTCCCTCTAAGAATATCCCTGGGCCCCATGATGCCATCTTGCCATCTTGCCATCTTCGGGGCCAGATCCTTGTTGCCTCGCTCCGACGGAGTTCTTCCGTCTGTGGTGACTACATAATAATACTAATAAGTAATAACTTAGTAGGAACTAGCTAGCTTGGGCTAAAGGCTCGGAACACTTGGAAGTCAACTGACTGGTCTGTTATTGTTGTTGTTGTTTGGAATGCCACCTCCGTGTCGGTATCGGAACCATTGTTCATAATTTCAAGCGGTGACCGACCCAACCTATCCATCTACCTACTTAGTACTCTTTTAGTCTGAAGAATCTAAACATCCATCTTTGCTTAATGATCAAGCTACCATCTCACTAAAAATCGCAACCGAGGCCGACCGCTGCTAACTACTGAGATTGGTGTCTACCCTACCCGTTGACGAACCATCAGCCCGACCCTGCCGGCCACCCTACTTTTTAAATTACCTGACGGGTCCTTGGTGAAAGTAACTCCGTCATATCCGTACTAAAAGCTACTTTACTCTAGCTCGGCTTCTGGAAGATCCTCGTGCTTGTTACTCGTTAGCATACCCATCCTTAATTCAATGTCCCTGTTCCTATCGGTCCTACCTGCAGCTGCGCGGCACCTCCCTTCCCCGCGCACTGCTACTGCTGCTACTACTGCTCTTACTACTGCTGCTGCGAACATGGTGCGAGCGAATCATGTAAGCCGTGGATTACAATCCATCATGGCACATGCCCGGCTTTCTCTCCCCCGTAATTTTCACCGCGTTTCCCTCGCTTGCTATTATCCCCCTTCGTCCCGCCCCACCGTCGCGACACGAACCTTTGCGTCCAGGCGAGCCGCCGCCATCTCGACTCCCTCGGGCCTAGATTCGGACCACCACCTGACGGCGGCTAGGGAATGGGTCGCTAGGCTCAATTCAAAGGCTATCACCATCCCGCGTGACATCTGCGAGATTTCCTTTAGTCGTTCTAGTGGCCCTGGAGGTCAAAACGTGAACAAGTCGGTTGCCGCCATCGGTCTGAACCAGCCACTCCCATTGATTGGTGACTAACATGTATCTGTCAATGCTACTTCGTATAGGGTGAACTCGAAAGCCACATTACGAGTCCCCCTCAAATCATTACTGCCTTTCGTCCCCCAACTTCTACATGCCCCGCTGCAAGCGTCTCGATACGTCGCGGCGAAATCCCAGTTTCTGGTCATTCAATCGGATGAGTCGCGCAGACAGACCGCCAACGTGGAGGCTTGCTACGATAAGCTCCACCAGCTCCTCAAGAGCATAGCAGAGGACACGATTCCCGGAGAGACTTCGCAAGAACAACGTGACAAGGTACAAAAACTGTATGTATTTCCCCTCTGGGTATTTAGGATCCACTTTGAGGAACATGCGAACCTCGGACTGATCTAGCGCAGAAAGAAGGCTGCAAACGAAGCCCGCATCAAGTCGAAGAAAATGCACAGCAGCAAAAAGAGCAGCCGCCGGGGTAGTTATGACGACTAACAAACATGCTAACTTTTCATCACCTAATAACCAAGAGGACCTTTCCCTCATTCTCATTGCCCATTAAGCTTGCGACGGAAAAAGCCCGATAAACGCCGATGAATGATTCAAATGAAATGTAAGCTCTATGCTTCCTGTACAATGCGTTCCGCGTTACGGATAGTCGCAGAAATCGCCTTTTGGAGAGACGCATCCACGCCTTCTGTCTTCTCAAGGGGCTGTAGCCAGCTGATGATCTCCTTGGCGACGTTGGGGTTATTCCGATACTCCTTGATACGGGCAAATGATGCGCTAAACGCACGTGGGAATTCGGGCGAAGTGACCTGGAGTCCGGCGGTGGGGAATTTGATGTAGCAGATTTGCGTATGGGGGCTGTTGGGCTTGCTCTGCTGCATCACGTCGACCACATGGCCGAGAATCTTGTGCAGACAGGGCAGGTCGTCGAACTCGACCGCCATATCGTAGAATTCATGACCGAAACGGTCGTCATTTTCGAAGTTCTTCATGGCCGTATCGAAAATGGCGAGAGGGATGGCACCAGTCAGGGCAGGGGTGTTGGCAAGGTTGTCCAAAGCGACTTGATCCACACCGCCATCCTCTCCAGCACCGGGGTTGATATCTTCTCCAGTAATCTTGGGCATAGCGATCATGTCGGCATCCATATTGTCCTCCTCCGCTGGCTTCGGGGCTTCGATCGGCTTATCGAGACCCAAGATTCGCTGTCGAGCAACCAACTTGGCGATATATATCAATTCCAGTTTTGCATAGTGGAGCCACAGCTTCTTCGAACTTTTGCAAAAGCGCAATCCGCGCTGCATGTAACCTCTAGATTGTGTCATATCCGCATGCTCATCCACAGCGTATTGCGCAGCGTATAGCCACAAATCGACATTGGCGGGATGTAACCGCAAGGCGTCTGTAAGGATGCTCGAGACCTTTTTGTAGGCTTTTTGTTGTTTTGCGTATTCGAGGTACTGCACCCACAAGCCCACATCTCCATGAAACTTGCGAGTCGCGCGGTCAAGGATGAAAAAGATGCGCCTCTGCCCAGTGTATCCCGCCGACCTGATTCCCAATCGCTTCACCCTCTTCCGGCGCAGGGTGTCTAGGTTCATCTCGTATTGCGCATATCGGACGAAGTCAACGGGCAGGGCGCCACGTGCATTCAGCTTGTGCTCAAAATCGGACCGTTTCTTGATGATGGCTGTGATTTCCTCCTGCAAGCAGATCAAACGGCATGTCAGTTTTCTAGGCGCATTGAGGTGGGTAGATAGAAGATGACCATGAGCGCCAAATACCTTAGAGAAGATTTTCTTCCGCTCAAACTCCTTGAGCTCAGGGACCGACTTCTCAAGAAAGAAGCGGGCCTTGTCGGTAGCAGCTGACATGATTGCTCTGGATGGCTTTGGCAAGCAGCGACTTCAGCAGTTCCTTTGCAACCCAGAAATCCAGCCAGAACCAGACGATAGGCAAAAAAAGTTGTCGGCATCCCGCACGAGATCTCCGCCCAGGGACCTGGCCGCCTGCCTGATCGGGGCTAGTGGCTGGAGCGCGCCGCCCGCGTGTTGCCGAGCCTCGCTCCGAAGGTCATCCCATCATCTGTCTCTCTCTCACCTTCAGGGGAATCTTGGGCTTCTCGCTGTTGGGATTCTTTGTACGACCCGCTCTTTCGCTTTTCTTTTCCCTTCTCATTTCATTTTACTTTTATTGACGCTCATTTCTATCCCCCTTAGTCTGTTTCTTTATAGCTTATTCTTTTAATTGGCCGGAGTCCGTGCTCGGTGCCTCCCTGTGCTGCCATGGCACCCAGATATAAAGATGGGGATGCCGTTGTGGCGGTTAGTGTCTCTGCGCTTCGCGGTTTGTCAAGCTAATTGACCATCTCTCAGGTCAATGGAAAATGGATCTCTTGGGCACATACGGCTGTGGCCTATACGGCCTTCTTCAGTGCCCTGGTAGTGGGCATGTCCTTGCATTTCCACAAGATTGTCCAGAACGAACATTACGGCTACCCTGATGAATGGTTCCCTTCCGTGTCGGCCACCATCGGTGATCGCTATCCTGAACGCTCTTTTTTCCAAGTCTTCATTGCCATCACTTCCGGTCCTCGTTTCGCCCTCGTATTCCTTTGGTACCTCCTGACTGCCCGCCCTAACTCCGCCCTGCCAAAGCTGGTCGCTGGTGTGGGCTTGTTCCGGACATTCACGTGCGGAGGCTGGACTTATGTTACCTCGACTGATGACCACGACTGGCACGATATTTTCATGATCTCGTATCTGGTGGCAACTTTGCCCTGGACTCTCGGTTGCCTCGCCCTCAGCCCGAACAACCGCCGCGCTGTCAAGTACCGCAAGATTCTGGCCAGCCTGTTCTTTGGCACTCTGGTGCCACTGATCTACTACTTCATCCAACACAAAGTGCACAAGGTTCCTGGGGGTAAGATCGCATGGATGCTGCTGCTGCTGTGGATGAGATTGTTAACCTTTGGCCAGCTTACACGAGATACGCCTTCTTCGAGTGGTCGCTTATTTTGTTTGATGTCGGATTCGATGCCGTCACAGCTCTTGACTTTGACGCATTCGAGATTGTTGTGAGGGATGTCAAGGGGGTTAGCAGAGGGTATGTACAATGGCTTCCAAAGTAATGCAGAGCAAGAGAGGAAAATGTACAGTCGCCAAAAGATGGTTGTCGGTATTTGAAAGACGTGATCTAAGATTCGCAAACTTCCAGGCAGTTGAAGACCACTGCGGACTCTGTCCTTGAAAAAGAGTGTGTACAATCTGATTTCCAGACTTAACCTGAACATGGCAGTTAACTCGTAGTCAGGAAGGGCAAGCCTGTCGGAAATACGTTTGGCGAGGGCTTTTTCTGGTCTGAAATCATCGATGCTGCTGCAGACGTCTACAATGGGGTACGCTTCAGTTTGGGCTTTCCCTCAAATTATGTGGTTGCTGATAAGTTGTAGTTCGTCTTCTGGACCCTCTGCACTGCCCTTCCCGTTCTCGTCTGGTGTAAGTAGTGCGTTTCTTATCTGCAAGATCGCATGTCTGATTGGATGTAGACTTCCCCCTTTGGCACATGGGCATCTCAGGATATGAGGCAGCCATTGTCTGCTACCTTTCACCTTTGCTCCTCGGCATCCCGGCCATCAAATCTGCGGCAATCAAGAACCCTCGCCTTTTCCACCTGCTCTCGCTGTCCGGACTCCTGGCATATAAGGTGCAAGACCCTGCCAACCGCCTCTTCGTTATGGGCTTCGCCGTTATCTGCAGCTGTGTGACCTGGGCCGCTAGCTTGTATGCGGAGAGGGCGAACAACGTCAGATTGGAGTCCCGTATCCTTTCATGGAGCATCGGTTTGATTCTGTCTAGCGTCGCCAAGTTCGCATGCGCTACCAACAACCCTCTGTGGCCAATCATGCACGCCCAGAACGGTGGATGGAACAAGATTGGACTTCTTCTCGCTGTCCTGGCTGTCCTTCGATCCTACCGTAGACCTGCCACGAGCGGAGGAGATTATCTGCCGTCGAGTGGAAAGAAGGGCTCTCCCTTCCTGGCCGGTCTGGGTGTTGGCGGCTTGATGTTCGCCATGCACTATCTTCTTTCGGACTCTAGTACGATGATGTCTTGGGTCTGGGAGGGTTATCCGGTGCGGGGCCCCATCGCGGCTCCCCACGGTGCCGTCACCATCTTTACCATGGGTGCTGGTCTCGTCTACGGCCTCTTTTATCCTTCTGTGGCCGGTAGTTGGACAGCGTTTGGACTTGGCTCTCTGGGTGCCACATTCCTTACCTGCTACAGTCACTGGACCGGATACTATGGCGGTCTTGTCCTCACGTTCTACCTCCTGGCCGTGACTCCCGTTCTCCTTTCCTCGGCCGTTAGACATTCTCCTGCATCTACGTTCGGTGTGGGCTGCGTCTTGTACATTTTCTTGATCCTGTTCCACGTTTGGGTTGTTGCTTACGCCTTTGTTCCTGGTGGATACCTCGTCAGAGAGCACACTGATTGGGTCGTGATCACCATCATGTTGTCCATTGGCGCTGGTGTCTTCTCGGCGGGTGTGTCGAATGCTTCCAGCCCGAAAATCAAGGCCGTTAGCCCTAACAGCAGAAGACAGCGTTCATACTTCATCTACGTCCTCGCGCTCCTGCAACTGCTCTCCGTCTCCATCGCATACCTCCGCTTCCCCACTAATGACTACACTCCTTATCACAAGGATGACAAAGTTGCCACCATGGGCATTTGGACGATCCACTTCGGCCTCGATAACGATATGTGGGCATCTGAGCGGCGCATGCGCGATGTAATCCAGGAACTTGAGCTTGATGTGATCGGCTTGCTTGAGTCAGACAACCAGCGCATCATCATGGGCAACCGTGATGTTACGCAATTCTTGGCGGACGACCTGGGAATGTACGCGGACTTTGGACCGGGTCCCAACAAGCACACCTGGGGATCTGCCTTGCTCTCCAAATTCCCGATTGTCAACTCCACCCATCACCTACTCCCTTCACCTGTTGGTGAGCTTGCCCCAGCCATCCACGCCACTTTGGACATGTATGGCGAGCTTGTTGATGTCGTGGTCTTCCATTCGGGTCAGGAGGAGGATCCGGAAGACCGTCGTCTGCAAACGGAGTATTTGTCCAACCTGATGGGTTCGTCGTCTCGTCCGATGGTGTTGCTGAGCTACTTGGTCACCAAACCGCTCGAGGGCAACTACAACACTTATGTCAGTGATATCAGTGGTATGAAGGACATTGATCCCACGGACTGGGACCGTTGGTGCGAGTACATTCTGTTTAAGAAGTTGAAGAGAACAGGCTACGCCAGAGTTAGCCGTGACTCGATCACCGACACTGAAATCCAGGTATGCTCCTTTGGCCTATTTCACTTCCACGAATATTTCCCCTCTAACCAGCTATTCTTGATAGGTCGGTAAATTTGTGATTGGCGAGCCAGAACCGGAAAATGAAATGCGTATCCCAGAGGAAATGGTCCCTGAAGGCCGTCGATTCCCTGCATTGTTCCGCGGCCAGGGAGTTCGTGGTCATCGGTACCATGTCTTTGACGAGCCCCGATACTGGCAATGAGTGTTAGCTCTCGATTGAAGGGGCATATCATTCCAGATACCTTTGAGCAACATCGAATGTCTTCCATATACTGTTCTTGAGTATAGTTCATACGACAAGCATACCAGCATTGCGTGGCCAATTGCCTGCGGTGATCATATGTGGTCTTTTTTTTATCGTACATAATGTCATCTTTCCCTTATTCTTCTATTCAAAGTCGAAATTGCACAACAAATCCGCAGCGAAGGTGCACTGTGAAGTGCTGTACGGACTAACAGGCTCAGGGACGGCGGGGTTGCGCTTTGCCTGCTGTTTGGTTGTAAAATTAGTAGTAGAAGGGGATGGCAGGAGCTGAGGGCCCTGGTCTCGTGCCTGCCTGCCTGACTGCCTGATGGCCTGCCCCTCGTTCTGTGGAACGTAGTCCAGGACTGACCTTCACCTTCAGTGCATCCTTGACTGGGTTGTGGAATGCGAAACCGCCAATTAAGCATGTTCGCTAGGTTGATGTGACATAATCTATATGACAAGGTACGCGATGCTGGTGGTCTTTACAGCGAAGCTCTGAGCTGATCAGCTGCAAAGATCATCATTTTTCTCTTGATAATTCTTCTAGAGCAGGCAACCCTATCAGAGAATACAGCCCAGTCGCATCATAAAGTCAGATTCTAGCTGATACCGTTTGTGTTGAATCATTGTCCTGGACGAGTACCAGCGAGCACGACTACCAAGTACAACGTATATCACACCATAACAAAATCTTTTGACTAAGATCAACACTCAAGCTACCCACAAAAGAACATTCCAACGACAATAGAAACTAACGCTGAGGCAAGTAAGCACTTTCCATTGCTAGTTTACCAGTCATTCGGTGTCAGCAGCGCTAGGAATCCTCCGAGGAATGTACCGAGTACTTTGACTTTCTTTGTTGATATTCGTCCCAGTTTTGCCTCCCCTAGATGGAGATTGTTTGATCTTTATCAGGCAACAATGAAAGAAAAGAAGGAAATTTCTTCGTTTATCTTCTAGGGCGGAAATGTGCTGAAAATGTACATAGGAAAGGCCAGAAGGACATCTGACAGATGTGATGAGGGCCATGGAGAGACGATATTTGACGTCCTTTTTCTGCTGTCCTCGCGGGAATTACCGTCCCTGTACATTGGAAGCTCAGCGAACCGAAAGTGATGGGTCTTTCTCTTTGGACTGAACTAACGGACCGATCAACAGCACAACTTGCGAGAGAATTGCTCCTTCAGGGTGAAGATTGCAGCAAAGTGCATGAGTGCTTTTTCTCAGACCTCGGCGGGTATACGAAGGTTTAGGTAAGTTTAATGTCGAAATCGATTGGCTTTGTTACTGACAATGCTGGCGTCGGCTTATAGATCATTCACTTTGCAATTTCCGCCTCGTGGGAAGTTCTTGTTGATGCTTTCAGGGACAAAGAAGTGTCCAACAAAGACGGAGGAATACATTGCGTCTGTTCTATTTTTGTTGAATCAATTACTTCGGTCGATATAGGTGAAAGGAAGTTCATTCGAAACCTAGCGTGAATGAACCCCTTCGATAATGCAAGTTGTCCCAGATATATTTGACTACCATCGCTCCGCACGGGGTGTCCGGGCTGACCATATTGTTTTCCAAGTCATCTTGAGCTTACAAGCTTTTGGGCTCGCATTCTGAGAAATTTATACTACGAGGCGTACTTCCAGTGTGTACTCGAGCATTATTTTCTTGTTCAAGCTATCCACATCCACCACTCCATCAACTTGATAAGCAATGTCTGAAGAACCCGGCAAGCGGCTCGAGGATCCGTCGCAAAGAACTTCCCTTGACGCAAACCCACCAGGGGACCAACACGTGGAGTTTGTCAATGCGGAACCTGAAACCCTGTCAAGTGGTACCGGGAGGCTTTCGGCAGGACGGGGGGCCATCCTGGCCAATGCTGCCAGAGAACTGCAGGATGTCGCTGCTAAACAACCAACTAGCCATACGAGCAATAGCCTCCAACCTCTACATCTGGGGACGCGAAGATCTCGACCATATGGAGAACCAGTCGTCCCGCCAACGTGGACAGAGGGACCTCAGGGCAAGAAGTATCATCGACAAATGCCCGTTGGTGAGATGGTAGCACCGACTCAACCTGGCATAGGTGAAGGTTACAATTATAGTTCATATAAGCGGCCGCCTTTATTCACGCAGGCTCCCAAGCACAAGGTCCATCGGCCAAAGTCCCCTATTGAAGGACACAGTCGATACTTAGCAGGAACATTAAAGATGCTATCCATGCATAACAACCCTCCCCAACAGGAAAATGATCCAAACAACGAAATAGACACGCCGCCAGCTGAGTACATGGACCATGAACCGCCATACACTGCGGATGATGGTGGAGTCACAAATCAGGGTGAGTGTAAATGGATTTGGATTGTTGTCACTTTACTTGTGTTGAGCATGTTCCTATGCCTCTTTTTGTACGTGTTCAAGGTTATCAGATGATGTAATGTATGTCTTGTCGGAGCGGCCTAAGTCGCTATAAGCAAGCCTGTTTGGCGATATATACGAGCTATCTCTAAGATATTGCGGCTTACGGGAAGGAATTGCTCACATTCTTCATGTATCCCTTGCGTTATACATTCCGGAACTCTTTCTGATGTGCTAATTCTGGCCATGTGCTTAGCTCGTGGGGGTAATGTGGTAGTCTATGACCAATATGACCCAGATATTCATCCTCACCCGCCCCCTGATCCCCAGTTATATGGATTTGGAGTACCGCAACAAGGTAAAGACACTGTTGACTTCTCCTTCTGAAAGTGATGGAATGTCTGGCTGATGGGGAATCTAGTGCCTCCAGGAGGAGCGCCCGACAGGCCATCAAGACAAGGTGCGAAAGCTTTAGCGAGGGAAAGACCGAGACAGCTACGGCAAGGTCTAGCAGAACCGCAAGTACTTACTGGGGTATTAGGAGCGACATCGGAACCGAAGAGGCAGCTGCTACAAGAACCGCTTAATGGAAATAGACTTCTAGCGATACAAGAGGCTCGAGCCCGCCCACCAGGGTGGACAGGATGGTACAACATAACAGGGCCACATGTCGACGTATACCCGGCTCTGATCGAGCCGGTCGACGAGATAAGAGGACAACAACGTCGGATTGAAGGTGGTGAAGCCGGCTCACGGAGGAGTCGACCTGCTCAGGGACCACCTGCTCAGGGACCACCTATTCAAGGACCACCTATTCAAGGACCACCTATTCAAGGGCCACCTGTTCAGGGACCGCCTATTCAAGGACTGCCAGTTCAGGGACCGCCAGTTCAGGGACCGCCAGTTCAGGGACCGCCAGTTCAGGGACCGCCAGTTCAGGGACCGCCAGTTCAGGGACCGCCAGTTCAGGGACCGCCAGTTCAGGGACCGCCTGTTCAGGGACCAATCATTCCAAGAGTAATTTCCAAGGTAAATGACAGCACGCAATACATGCATGATCACTACGATGAATATTACCCTCAAGATATACTTCACCGGATGAGAAATTGGGGCGGAGTGAGCCCAACCAGTTTGCATTCTGCTCTGGCTCCAGGTCAACTTGAGCAGATACCTAGGGCTCCGCCTCCGCTACCCAAGACGGCGCCAGCACAAGTAGAACCAGCGAAGAAGGGAAAAGCGAAAGGGACGAAGAGGAAGAGGGTTACAGAACCGGAGAATATGGAACCACCAGCACGCTCAGCATCACCAAGACGCTCAGCGCGCTCAGCACGCGCAGCACGGCCACCAGCATCAGCAGGAGCTGCAGCAGAGGAAGCAGCACCAGCACGCGCAGCAGCACCGAAACGATCGGCAGCACCGAAAAGCTCAGCAGCACCGAGAAGCTCAGCAGCACCGAGAAGCTCAGCAGCACCAAAAAGCTCAGCAGCACCGAGAAGCTCAGCAGCACCGAGAAGCTCAGCAGCACCGAGAAGCTCAGCAGCACCGAGAAGCTCAGCAGCACCGAGAAGCTCAGCAGCACCGAGAAGCTCAGCAGCACCAAAAAGCTCAGCAGCACCGAGAAGCTCAGCAGCACCAAAAAGCTCAGCAGCACCAAAACGCTCAGCAGCACCAAAACGATTGACACGCTCAGTACGGTCATTAGCATCAACGGGGCCTGCAGCAGGGGAAGCAGAACCAGCATCGCCACCGCGGCGAATGCAAACGCGGGCCATGGCCAGGTCCCAGGGGAAAGAGGCTGCAAAAGCGACTAAGAAAGGTTGAAGTGAATGCGACAAAGCATATGTTCCTGTGTATTTAGCATGTCTTGTAGCTTTATTCACCATGCTTGTTATTGTTTGTGTCTTTGTATACTTCGACAATAGTACTATGTAAATGATCTGCATCATAATTACCCGATACAGAGAGTAGTGCAAACCGGACAAACAAGACCCGTGATGTGATGCTGCTTTGTGTCTGCCGATGTCGACCAAACAATCCGCGGCATCAGCATCCTTCGCACTCAGCCATTGTTTCATATTAGTGAATGCTGCTCAATAGTCTGGATATGTTACGATAATTGCCAACTGGTCGCGCATTGTTCGTCGTTACTCCGTCTGGATCGATGAGCTAAGTGAGAGCGCTTCCCGAGTCTCCGCGACAGCCTCAACTGCAGCTCTCCTGGGATCGCCGCGCACGAGAATCTCCAAGCCAAGATGTTCACCTTTACCCCCCTTCTCGGCGCGCAGTCTGCGTCATCGAAGGCTTCACAATCAATTCTCGAGCTTGATGGAGGAATCAAGATTCTTGTGGACGTCGGTTGGGATGACACCTTTGATCCTCTCGACCTGCAGGAACTTGAAAAGTGAGCTACCACTGCAGTCCTGTATATCTATCGGAGGAGTCAGTCTTCTAATATTTTAATGATAGACATGTCCCGACCCTGTCGCTCATTCTTCTAACCCACGCTACACCCGCTCATATCGGTGCCTTTGCCCATTGTTGCAAGACCTTCCCTCTCTTCACGCAAATCCCCGTCTACGCTACGAGTCCCGTCATTGCGCTCGGTCGCACGTTGCTACAGGATTTATACGCCTCTTCTCCGCTGGCCGCAACATTTCTACCCAAAGCCTCGATCTCCGAGCCCGGCGCTTCTACGGCCGCAGCATCAGCTGCTGCGTCGGTGGCCGAAGGCGATGAAAGCGCCGAAGCTACTCATGCCGGGCGCATCCTCCTCCAACCTCCTACCGCCGAAGAAATTGCCCGGTACTTCTCTTTGATACACCCTTTGAAATACTCACAACCACACCAACCGCTTCCGTCACCATTCTCCCCGCCCCTGAACGGCCTTACGCTGACCGCATACAACGCTGGACACACCGTTGGTGGTACGATATGGCATGTACAACATGGCATGGAGTCAATTGTCTATGCGGTCGACTGGAACCAAGCTCGAGAGAGCGTCGTCGCGGGCGCTGCCTGGTTTGGTGGCTCCGGTGCCAGTGGAACGGAGGTCATTGAGCAGCTGCGCAAACCCACGGCACTGGTATGCAGCACCAGGGGAGGCGAACGGTTTGCATTGCCCGGAGGCAGGAAGAAACGGGATGACCTGCTGCTGGACATGATTCGGAGCACCATCGCCAAGGGTGGTACAGTGCTGATTCCTACGGATACTAGCGCTCGTGTGCTGGAGCTGGCTTATGCACTGGAACATGCCTGGCGCGATGCGGCAGGCTCTGGCCAGGGTGACGATGTACTGAAAGGAGCCGGACTATACCTGGCCGGCCGCAAAGCTAATACTACGATGCGACTGGCAAGGAGTATGCTGGAGTGGATGGACGAGAATATCGTGCGAGAGTTTGAGGCGGCCGAGGGTGTGGATGCAGCGACTGGTCAGTCAAATACAGAAGGCCAACGAGCAGGTCAAAATCAGGGCAAGGCAGAAGGGAAGGGCGTGGGGCCTTTTACATTCAAGCATCTCCGGATTTTGGAACGCAAAAAGCGATTAGAGAAGATTCTGTCCGACCAGAAGCCCAAGGTCATCCTGGCTTCCGATACGTCGCTGGATTGGGGATTCGCGAAGGACTCTCTACGTCTGGTGGCGGAAGGCGCCAACAACCTGCTGCTGTTGACGGAGCCTCTGCACAAGGAGAGGATCACGGAGGGCCAGGAAAGCACCCACAGGAAGACGCTCGGCAGTATGATCTGGCAGTGGTATGAAGAACGGAAGGATGGCGTCGCTCTGGAAAAGGCATCGGATGGTGAGATGCTGGAACAGGTGCACAGCGGAGGCCGGGACCTCTCCTGGACGGATGTGCGACGTGCGCCTTTGGACGCAGGCGAGCAGTTGCTCTACCAGCAGTATCTGGCCACGAAACGACAACTTCAAGATACCTCACAAGCAAGAGGACAAGAAAATCTTGACAATGCCGCCGACGCCCTCGATGACCGGTCAAGCTCTACATCAGAAGACTCGGAGACGGAACAGCAGGGTCGCGTCCTGAACTTCTCGACCTCCTTAGCACACTCCAACCGAAACAAGCTCGGCCTCAGCGATGAAGACCTTGGCGTCAACATTCTTCTACGACGCAAGAATGTCTACGACTACGATGTACGAGGCAAGAAAGGTCGCGAGCGCATGTTCCCATATGTGGCACCGCGGAAGAAGGGGGACGAGTATGGAGAGTTCATCCGGCCTGAGGAGTACCTCCGTGCCGAGGAACGTGAGGAGGCCGACATGCAGCAGCGCCGGACCGACTCCCAGACCAAGCTGGGGCAGAAACGTCGCTGGGACGAAACAGCGCCCCACGGACGTCGACTGTCGGGCAGTGGCGCCAAACGGCAAGCGCTTGGCGATGCGCAGAAACGGGATGTCAGCACTGCTGACGAACTGAGCCTCGCCGAAGACGGCGAAGTGGATGCCGCGGTATCCTCGGAGGATGAGGTGGAAGGACAGAGCTTCGAAGGGCCAGCGAAGGCAATATACGAAAAGGCTACACTGACAATAAATGCTCGGCTGGCATACGTGGACTTTACGGGACTACACGACAAGCGCAGTCTGGAGATGCTCATCCCACTCATCCAGCCCCGGAAGCTGATCCTGGTTGGTGGCATGAAACAGGAGACGACCGCATTGGCGACCGAATGCCAGAAGCTCCTGGCAGCCAAATCCGGAATGGATGTTTCGGCCGCGGATTCGGCAGTCATCTTCACGCCGGTCAACGGTGAAGTCGTTGACGCCAGCGTCGACACCAACGCATGGATGGTCAAGTTGAGCAACAACCTGGTCCGGCGTTTGAAGTGGCAGCACGTACGCAGCCTGGGCGTGGTTACGCTGACGGCGCAGTTGCGGGGGCCGGAACAGGCCGTCCTGGAGGATTCTACAGAAGAGAACCCCAGCAAGAAGCCGAAACTCTTGGAAGAAGAGAAGAAGGAAGAAGGAGGTAGCTCTGAGGTCGCGACGAACGCACCACCAGAGGGGGCCAAACCATCGGCCGACAAGTCCGAGGTATACCCACTGCTGGATGTGCTGCCGGTCAACATGGCGGCGGGGACGCGGTCCATGACCCGGCCGCTCCATGTGGGCGACCTGCGGCTGGCAGATTTGCGCAAGATCATGCAAGGGGCCGGACATACGGCAGAATTCAGGGGCGAGGGAACGCTCCTTATCGATGGGATGGTGGCAGTGCGGAAGTCGGCGACGGGGCGGATTGAGATTGAAGCATCAGCGCAGTCTGCAGCGTCGACAAATCTGGGACGAGGAGGAGGGAGCTTCTTGGCTGTGAAGCAGAAGATTTATGAAGGATTGGCTGTTGTGTCGGGGAGTTAGGTGCTGCCACGAACCGGTTCGTCTGATGTTGGATTATACCAACCCAGTAGATTAAACAAGACATAAAATATCCGTTTACCCACTTTACCTATGTATAAACTGTAGTAATGATGCATGCCATAACTTTGGCCCGTCAGCCAAATCCTCCGAATAGCACTGTAATTTAGCCCCATTAGCTGAGCGTGCAGGTAGTATACTACTGTAAGTCAGCATTATAACTCAATGGCACTTGTCACATCATCGTAGTGGTATATAGTTGTTGATCATGAATCGTTCACTAATACACATCTATCTACTATAAGTATACTATAAATGGACACGTCTCAGTCCCGTCAAGCCACATTCCTAAGTACTGTATGTTATTTACCCCTTTTCCTGCCCCAGATCCCGGAGTTGAATCAATAGTCGCGGGAGGGTGTTTCTGGAAGGGCTAGAACTATGATCTAGAGAAGGCCAGGCCAGGAGGCGGGAACTAGTTGTGTCAGATGGTGATAGTGTAGTTTGTGTGGGAGTCCAGATTGTAGGTGTAGATATTTTCGGTAGATGGTATACTAGTACTATGCTTTGTAGTGAGTACATAGGTGGGTAGGGTTTGGGGATGGGTGAATCAGGGGGAAGTATTATTATCTAATTAGTCTAGTTGTGGTATACTAATGAGGATTTGTCGAGCATGTTCCTGGATTGATTAATTGAATATGTGGGAGTATTGTTAGTGATTACTTTCAGCCTGAGGTATCTATCTATCCATCTACCCAGTAAGTATCTAGTAAGATTACTCACAATGAGATCAATCTGTCTCAGATGTCAGCTTTCAATCCCTTAGCATTGGAAGTGGAACCTGCCCATTCCTTGATTGCGAGCAGCGATACTTGTCTTACAGGTACACAACAAGTACTCCGTAACTTTGTAGAATCGACCAGATCGTGATCCCAACCACTTAGACTACAGTAGCAATCAATCCATCCATCCGGGAATATTCATCAAGGCAACAATAAACGAGGAGAAGAAGGAGACAAGCAGGGTTCCCCTCATCACGGCGGCATTCTCTCGGATCCGTCGGATAATCTCATCCATTTCCCCCCACCACACTCACAACCACACTCACATTCATACTCACCCACCACTTGCAATAGTAACTCGAAAGACCAACCACCAAAGCAACAAGTGATAGACAGTCAATAGACGAAGTACTACTACTACTACTACTACTAGGAGGAGGGGTAGATTGTGAAACACATCTAAAACACACCTACCTAACCCCCACTCACCGTCACCATCAGCACCATCAGCAGTTGGTTTAACCCACCACGTCAACCATCAAACATACACACTCTCATTGGATGAATAAGCACAATGGGTTGGAACAAACCATGACATACGTAACGTCCATTGACTGGTGGACCTCAGTGGATAGTCAGACCAAAAATCAATCGAAACGGAATCGATCTTTGAATCTTGAATGGACAATGCGGGCGGATCCGCGGTTGACCAATGGGATGTGGGGGATCCATGAAAGGA